ATTTCACAAAACCCTCCTCTTCCTCTGCGTTGTGACCTCCAATCCCTTCATACCTCAATTATCTCCTAGGTCATCTCCATTGTATTAGCCATTGTCTCCTCTCCTGTCCATCTTGAATCCTTGGTGAACCAATTCAAGTCTATATTGTCCTCTTCTCTTAAATCCCTAGCCCCCCTCTCTTGAATACCCCTAGCGTGGCTATTTAATGAAAGGAATGTAAAGCTTACCATAATATGTTTATGCCAGAAACTACAAATGTGAAAACCTTAACTGTTCAAATTTGCTCAAAGACAGACTTTGTATGTTTTACTCTTTCATGAAAGGGTACAAACTTTTAAATCTGTGTGTTGTTCTCAGGATGATTAAAAATGGTAGCAAGAATAATGATGATAAAGAAGTATTACTTAACTCACAGGACTGTTGTAAGGATCAAGTGAAATGATGTACAATAAGCAAGGATTTTACCTTAAAAACACAGACATATTTACACATATATATCTGTATAAATAAACACAGATGTATATATCTATATATGTGTGTACATACACACACACGCACACACACATCTGTTGTGATGATGATGATGATGACACTAAGAATTTAAATTTTCCAACAATCTATAACCATCATATTTTGGGGATTTTAAGTTTTAGGAATGATTAGAAATAAACTGATTCTATAATTTCTAAACTATTTAAAGATAGTTAAAAAATCTTTGAAGTTTCATTGCAATCTTCTCCCAGGGAATCATATCCGTTTCACACACTTTGTAATGAATAAAAAAATGTCTAAACAGATTGTAAAATTACAAAATATGTTCCCCAGTTAAGGGTACATTAGAAAGCAAGTGTTACTTTTCTACACTGTAAGAAATATCTAGAAATAACTTAATTTGAGTCTTATCTCGCTGAAAGGAAACCTTGTAGCACCAAAGCTAAACTTAACTTTGGATCATTTAACTTAGGTCAGAAGATGTTCTATATTATACTTCATTGATTTAATAACTTTCCAAGAAGGAAGGGGAAGAACATTAGACAAAATCAATGCCCCAGGGGAGCATTAGTTTTTTAGCAAAGGAAACAAGATTTCTTTTCAAAATTACTAGAATTATCTGTTACATATCTTCCCTACAGTGGAGTATAAGGTCTATACCTAGAGCATATTAATAGGGTTCCATACGCAGTTGGGTTTTCAACTTATAGGAAATCAAACACTTGAGGAGAATTTAGTTATTTCAAAGTTTTCAATTTCTTGATATAGAGAAGGTCTGACACACAGCTGACTTTAAAATTGTATAACTTTTATTTAGAGAAAAGATAATGAAGAAATTTATAATTTCCTTGGCACAAAACCAAAGAATGCATTTTCAGACTTACACTGAGTGTAAATACCTCTGATCAAGCTGTAGATGGGTGAAAAAAAACCCAAATGATGGACATGTTTTCAGCAATGAATCCAAAAGATAGCCACGTACTTGTAGTACTTGCCTTATGGTGTAGTTGTGAGGACTGAATGAGAATCTGTGTAAAAGTGCTTTACAAACCTTAAAGTTCTATGCATCAGTTATGATGCTGGTAACTAAAGTTATGTGAGCTAATTCACAACCATTTTTTAAAATTTTAGGAATGATTAGTAAATGAAAAAATTAATAGCTCATTTTTATATAGTACATTTCACAGGTTACAAAGTACTTTCCTAATATATAAGATGTAGGAGCAATATGATAAGCCAATAAGAGACAAAAAATGGTGCAGTGAGAGAGGTAGGAGGAAAGTCAAAATAATATAGTGTGACAGAAGCTAAGAGACAGGTTATCAAGGAGGGGATGGCTAATTTACAATCAAAGGCCACTAAGGTAGGTCAGGAAGGGTAAGCTTGCACAGAAAAAAAGTTGATTGATCTAATATGGAAGAAACTTTGTAGAGAATTGTTCCAGTAGAATGGTAGGAAAGGAAACCCAATAAAAGAGTTAGCAAATGAGTGGTTGATGAGGCAGTAGAAATAGCAAGTGTAGACTATTATTTCTACTGGTTTGACAGCAAGAGGGAGAAGAGAATATGAAAGCTTGAGAGAATGGAACAGTAGGATGGCTGTTTTAGGGGAGTGCAGATCTCAGCATGTTCTTAAGTTAAAAGACTCAGGAGAGGTACACTTCGAGATGCATTAGTGAAAGAAGATGTGCAGTTTAATGGCAAAAAAAAGAGGAGATAGGTCTGAGGATGGAGTGGAGGGATTAGCTTTAGCTAAGGCTGAATAACACCTAAGACTGGAAATGATGGGGTAAGGGCCCAAGCCAAGGCCTTTGCCTGTTACCCCAAAAAGAGTTTGGGTCCCATTTGTCTACAGGCAGTAGAAAATCCCACCTGGGACTCTCCTTGAACTCCCACTTGATCAAGGAAGTCTCTAGCATTTGCCTAAGGCTATAATCCACTCAACTGGCTATACCCAAATCTCCCAATTCTGTTACCATAGTCTGTTACCTTCCTATGGGGAGAGGGCCCCCCTACCTCTCATCCTTGATCCTATCGAGACCCCATTTTACCTCCCAGTCACTTCCATCAAGATCCTCCCTAGACACCCCCCTCATAGTCACCCCAATTTACTTGGTCACTCCTAAATCCCTCCCACAGTCCTTCTGTATATAAGGTCCACCTTGTCTCCACTACGATGCTCAGATTCTTAAAAGTCTAGCCAACAGCTCACAAATGTTTAGATTCTTTAAGAGAATGGGCCAATATGGCCATGCTTTAATAAACTTTGTCTTTGGCTGAAAGAAGGCTTGGGTCAAATTCATTCGGGCAGGACCCATATGTTGCTATTTCGGGGTCCCAGAACGCTTAAACCTCAA